ATAGAATAGAATAGAATAGAATAGAATAGAATAGAATAGAATAGAATTCTTTTATTGGCCAAGTGTGATTGGACACACAAGGAATTTGTCTTGGTACAAATTCTCTCAGTGTACATAAAAAAAAAGATACATTCGTAAAGAGTCAAGAATCATAAGATACAACACTTAATAATAGTCAAAGGGTACAATAAGCAATCAAATTATACGAGGAAACAGTCAATAAAAATTGTTAGGATACAGGCACCAAAGTTACAAGAGAAAACAATCATAATGGATTTAAAAGGCAAATGTTCATTCAAGCCTACTGCAGCTTATTAGATTGACCTGACTAGGGAAGGAAAGAGAGATGGCGCAAAATGCAAAAGAGAGGGGTGTGTGGGGGGGAGGATTTGGTGGCTTTTTTTTTCTAGATGAATTTTCTTCCGTACTGCATGGGCCTCAACCCTGTTTCTCCCTCTGCCAGGATCAAACTGTTGTAATTGATTGACAAATGGCAAGGATGCAATTTTATCTTTGGGGTTCAACAGATTTGTAAACTTCTTTAGCTTGAGCAGGGGAAAATGTTTCTTCCTGCTATTTGTGTGATATCACTGCATTACTTTTACACCCTTTCTTGGCCCTTCCTTCATCCAGCCAGTTTGGTCTAGTGGTTAAAGCACCAAGCTAAAAACCAAGAGACGGTTAGCTCTAGTCCCACTTTAGGAATGAATGCCAGCTGGGTGAATTTGAGCTAATTATCAGGAGCCTGTGAATTCTAGTCCTGCCTTAGGCAGGAAAGTCAGGAAAACCCCTTTGGGTGGATCACTTTCTCAGGCCAAATGACCTCACAGGTCTGTTGTTGTATGATGAGTAGGAGACAGAAGGAGTAATTAGGTATGTTCACCTCCTTAAGATATTTATAAAAATAATAAAGGTGGGTATAAATAAAACAAATAAAACAAAATCTAGTTCAGGTTTTCCCAATCAGTGGATGGATGGATACGGACTCCATCCAAAATTCCCCAATCAGTATCACCATTGTACAAATTCTAGGAGTTAAAACTATGCGTATAGAGGATGGGTGGTTTGTGAGAGGCTATTCTAGTTTTACAAACACCTAGCGGAACAATTTGACCAACGTTTTGGTTTCCAAAAGAGAAGAAAGAGGAGGATAAGAGGAGAAAAGAGAAGAAGGAGACAGATTGGATAATGGACCATTGTGACCCAATTAAATTTGCTGCCAGTAAAACACTCAAGATTGGCATTCAGGATCAAATTCCAGAGCTCTTCAGCTTGGCCAAGGGGAAAACAGTCAACCTGAGCACATTAGAAGATAGGACAACATTGTCATGCCCTTCAATAAGCCATATGTGAAGGCAACAGTATGTTAGTTCAACTGAAAGCGTGCAAATAAGCATGGATACACCAGTAAGACTCACGCTAATCACTACCACATTCTTTCTTGGCTTTTATTTTTAAACAGCGCTAAAAATATATTTTTAAAAATTAGAGGTTGGCAGGCTGACCAAAGACATGATTACAGATGATTATTTTATATATTATTTTTCTCCTAAAAATACATTTCTCTCTCCCCTACTAAAGAAACATATCAAGCAGTTACAGTGTGTTGATTTCTAAATTACTTTTATGATTCATTAACGGAAATAAAAAGCATGACCATCTAAAGGAGACCCATGCTTCTTCATACACTGGTAGCTGAGACTTGACAATGGAAAGGGACTATCAACTGGACTTGGGATTTTTCCAATTCTCTGGGATCATTTAGCGATTCAAAGATGCCAGCCTAATTTAGAGGATTCTTCCAAACACCAATGCAGAGAATATAAATATGGGTTATTTATATAAGTATAAATATGGAGAATCTACAGATGGGCAACAGGAAATCCAAGAAGTTCAAAGAAGTGCAAAGAAGCTGGCACATGAAGGAGAGTGCAAAAGGTCTGAGATCCTAGTGGCTATGAATTCTGAACTACCACTTCTGTATGTCACTTCTCTGTTACAGTTTCTGTTGCTGGAAGTGATGTTAATTTCATATGCAGTGTACATTTATTTATTCATTTTTGCATATATGCTCATTTATGGACAGAGATATGCCTACATATATGCACATACAGATACTAGTTGGGACTCCAATATCAAATGCATCTAGTTGACCAATGGTTACTTGCTTTTTTGTTCTTAAGGTGTCCCCACATTATGTTCATTAAGTCTACTTGATAAAATTATTTCACTCTTTATTGATGCTTTGGGACAGTGGTCCCCAACCAGTGGCCCGGGGACCACTGGTGATCCACAAGAAAATTTTGGTGGTCCGCAGAGAAATGTCACCCCCAAAGCAATTAATCCAGGCTGCACAGGAACACAAGGCTTGCATCGCTTGCATTGCAGACAACACGAGGTAGTGAGGGGAGAGGGGAAAGGGTGGAGGGGGGAACTTGCCCCACTCGCCCCACACACCTGGCCTGGCCACCGGGCTGCTTCTTTCCGCTTCTTTCTTCTTCTGCTTTTGGCTGCACGCAAGGAAAGCAGCAAAAATCTTTCTCTCCCTCAAACTCCACCAGAAACGAGCCTTTGGGACCCTGCAAGGCATCCTGCTCCAAGAGTCACAAACACTCATTTCTGGTGGAGTTTGGGGGAGAGAAAGAAAGACTTCTGCTGTTTTCCTTGCATGAAGCCAAAAGTCTCTCTCTCTCTCTCTCACCCTGAGAATGGAGCTGGAGATGCTAGCCTGCATTCCCAAATAAAGAACGATCGATCAGTAGGAAAACGGGGTGGGGGATTTTCCTGCAGACTTTTGGGGGGATTTTCCCAGGGTCTCTGGTCCACAGGATTTAAAATGATGAGTTTGGTGGTCCCTGAGGTCCAAAAGGTTGACGACCCCTGCTTTAGGATGGGGTGAATCAATTCTACTTTCTCCCTCAAGTTACCTTTAGTGGGCGGCCTATAAATTTTATAAATAAATAAAAAAGTGTATTCTGCACAAATTAATATTTGGGATAGCTTTTCTTTTTTTAAAAAAAATCTTCATATCCTGATAACCACAGCAACACATAACAGATTGTATTATCCACTGGGACTTCTGCAATTAGTTACAGAAGGAACGCAAACCAAGGCAGAATACTGCCTCCACTGTAATTAATACCATAGTCTGAATTTCCCCCTCAATACATCATCCATCCTTTTCTCAAAGTCGGTAGCACTCTTGGAAACTGAAAGTTCTCCAAATGTCTTACCCCCTTTAAAGAAATGCCCGAAAGCCCGTTCTTTTTCTTCCAGCTGGAGAAGAACCTGCAGGAGAACTTAGATGATTTGGGATCAGGTTATTTGAAGGACCACCTCTCCTCTTTGGCATCTATCTGGCCCACCAGGATCGGAAGGTAGGGCATGTTACAGGTCCTATTTATCAGGGATCGTCTCCTGGTGGGAACATGAAAAAGGTGTCTTCTCAGTGGTGGCCCCTTCTGTATGGAATCTCATTCCCCTCTAGATAGGGTTGCCCCCCCCCACCCTGCTGTTTTTCCAAAAAGCCCTAAAATATGGCTTTGTCAGCAGACTGGGGGATCATAAATGGAGACAAGGTCAAGCAAGTGTCTGATTTAATTGTGTTGTTGCTGCCATGAGTGTGTGTTTTGGGGGAGTGGAATTAATTGGCTTTATTACATGGTAGGTTTTTATTTTTAATTTTGTAAAGTGACACCTGGAATCCCCCATGTGCGAGTTGAGTGGCTACATAGTTTTGTTTAATGAATAAACTATAAACCTTTCTAAAGCCTTGCACAAGTTCTATATCCCTTGAAACGTCAACGTATTTTCTTAGATTTTCTCCCTCCACTAGATTCACTCTGGGAAGAGGAGGGACCCACTCTGCAAACAGCCTTTAAAAAGATTCATTAAGAGCTATGTTTCTGTTTTCAGTTGCTTATAGAAATGCTCCGTGAGACATTTCAGGACGTTCTGGGAAAATTCAAGTGGTTACTAGTTTCTCAGTGAGTATTTCAAGGTAACCCCTTAGAAAGTTCTTGGGTCCTAGGAATTGCTTAAAGATTTGATGCCTAAAGGAAGAACATTTGGTGCCTAAAGGAAGAGCAGAATGTTCATTAACAATAATCAGCTATGCTGTGAAATCTTTAGTGTTGATTTTTCTATTCAATCAAATTTGTTTGGATCTCTTTAGTAGAATGTATACACCTCTATTAACTGAAGTCTTCAAGACAGCTTGCAATTATAACATAAAACTGACTCAGGATGCATTCCACGTTGCTATTAAACCATGCTCACAGCAGCATGTGTTTTCTTCCCCAAATTAAAGTTGCATGCTGCTTCATTAACTTCCATCAGAATTGCCTTTCTGCTGTGTGTCACTGGCATCTTGGATTCGCTTAATCCCATCTCTTCATTGTTGCTTTTGTTCCAGAGCCTTCCATTGTCTCTTGCGGAACATTGATTAACCCCTATAATTCAATTTTCCTTAACCTTGCCACCCCAATGAGATCTCGACCTCTTCTTATTGCTTCTCCCTGAAGCCCAGGGCAAGGCTTGCCTTTCAAAAATGCCATGTACTATTGAGCCTCACGATGGCAGCAGCGACAAGCCAAGATGGCACAAAGGCACAGTGTGACCTCTTCACGGCCTGACCCTGGGTGAGAAATCTCACAACGCTGAGATGCTAAAGGAAGGCACTGAAACGTCTTATACATGTTTATCTCTCAGTAATTGCAATCCAAACCATTCATTCATTCATTTTCTATAGCTGCTTATCTAAATCAGTGACTCTGGCAGGCTCATAATTCCAAATATATACTACAATTAATACAATTTTAAAACCCCTTTTAAAACAATAGCATCATTTAAAATAAGCATACACGGCAGCCAAGATACTTGGCCAGTTAACAATAAAACCAGGAAATGGGTCTGGTAACACATTCAGCACCACAGCCTTGGGAACACAGCCAGTTTTTTTAAAGCTTTATGGAAGGCCAACAGGGTTGGGGCCATTCTAATCTCCGAGGGGAGTGTCTGGCTGGTGAGATCTGCAAGCCTGCCCGATCTGCTAGATCAAATTGGATGGATAGAGAGAGGCAGTCCCTCAGGTAACCCAGTCCCAAGCCACAAAGGGCTTTAAAGGCGACGATTTGTCACTTTGCATGTTCAGGATACTGGTTGGAAAGCACGGGCAAATAACAAGTAGCCTTTTAACCAGTGGGGCATTTCAAAAAATTTTACCACTGGTTCGGTGGGCGTGGCTTGGTGGGTGCACTTTGCATGCACACATTTTGCACATGCACTCTCCCTGTTGCTTCAGCAGCTGCCGCACAGCAATCTGTGGTGCCGCGCAAAGCAGCTGCGCTTCAAAAGCAGGACATAAAGGGGCAGGCCCAACAGCAGGGCATTGGAGAGAATCGGCTCAGTCTCCCCTGCTCATCAGTGCTACCGGGTCAGTAGAACCAGGCCAAACCGGTAGAATACCACCACTGCTTTTAACATACAAACACAAATGAGGTCAAAATTTCTGTTGCTAAAAGAAACAATCAGTTTTGCCCTATTTTGCGATCTTTCTTGCCCCAGCAGTTCAGTGAATCCCTGCAACTGTTAAGTGAATCACAGGGTTGTTTGGTGAATCTGGCTTCCTCATAAGCTTTGTGGATCAGAAGTTCACAAAAGTTGATCACATGACCCCAGGATGCTGCAATTGTCATAAATATGAATCACTTGCCAAGCATCTGAATTTTGATCATGTGACCTGGGGGGTGTTATAATGCTCGTAAGTGTGAAAAATGGTCATGTCACTTTTTTTCAGTGCCGTTGTAACTTTGAACAGTCACTAAGCAGACTGTTATAAGTTCAGGACTACCTGGAGGTCCTTTCTGAACCCAGATAGAAGCTAAATGACTATATTCCAAACCTTTGCCCAGCAAACTCATCTATCCAGCCTCCCAAGGACTCCTGGATTCAAGCTTATTTTTCTCATTAAACTTCTCTTTCTCATCCTCGTCCTCTACCAGAAATTATTACATGCCTCACATTTCCAAGGCAAGGAATATTCAAGGTGGAAGAAAATAGTTTAAACTCCAAGAAGCCTTCCTATTTCACACATCTGGTCTGCCAACCATAATAATTTAATGATTTCTACCCCAACATCTGAATTTGGGAAAAATTATACTAGGGAGGAAGGAAGGGACGTTGTACCAATTAAATATCCCAGGCAAGTTCGAAAGGCTTCCTAAAAATAAATTCCATTAATTCAATCAAAGAAATTATCTTATTCTAACGCATTTGCATCCTTAAAATCCAAAGCAGTGTGGTTGCCAAGAGAAACCAAGGGCACTTTCAACTGCCATACAGAAATCTTATATGGTCTGTCATGTCAATATGTAATATTTCACTCCATTTTGAAGGGAAATTTGCAGAGGTGGTCTTCAGCAGGTTCTGACCAGTTCTGGAGAACTGGTAGCGGAAATTTTGAGTAGTTCAGAGAACCAGAAAATACCACCCCTGACTGGCCCCGCCCCCATCTAGTCTCTGTCTCCCATTGGGTCCCAACTGATCGGCTGGGTCTTCTTTCGTTGCCCTGCACAGGAGAACGGAGCTGGAAAGCAGGTTAGTGGGGTGGGGAGGGAATGGGGATTTTGCGGTATCCTTCCCCTGCCATGCCCACGAAGCCACACCCACAGAACCAGTAGTAAAAAATTTTTGAATCCCACTACTGGAAAGTGGGATAGGAATATAATAACTAAATGATTAGTGAGAAGCAACTGTAGTAGCACAGAGTTAACTGAGGAGCACCAACACAAAACCACTGGGTTTGAAATCATAAGAACTGACCTGGCATTTGTCCCAAAGGTGCTTTTCAAAAGGCAGTTGGACTTTCTTGGTTTTCTTCTTGAAAACTTTTCCCTTCTCATCCAAGAAGCTTCTTCAGAACTACAGTATATTAAATATTTGTATTAGTTTATCAAAATACAAAATGCAGAAATGCAAAGAAAAATGAAGAGGGAAAATAGGGGAGGAAAGTGTGAAAGAAAAAGTGTAAGAGAAAGGGGAAAAGCAAAACATTAGCTCCTGACTCCTTTTGGAACAGTCGAATAGGACAATAACATAAAACCTCAACCTTTTACTTATATAATATATACTAGCCATTTCTATAACACCTATCTAATCAGCAAAATCCACAATCTAAGTTTCATTTCCCACCACACCTCAAGCACAAAGTCCAAAAGGGGTTTCCAAGTAGAAATAAAATTAGTGGTGTTCTTTTGTTGAATCAAAGCAGTCAATTTAGCCATCTCTGCTCACTCCATCAACTTTTGCAGCCATTCATCCATTGTGGGAATCAAAGTATGCTTCTTCAGAACTGAAGAAGCTTCTTGGAAGAGAAGTAAAATGTTTTTCAAGGAGAACAAAAAACCAAGAAAGTCCAGCTGCCTTTAAAAAAGCGTCTTTGGGACAATCCTGGCCTGGATGATTGAGAATTTTCATAGATATGTTGACATAAATGTTCTTTCGCTACTGATACATTAGTTTCTTAGAACAGAAATAGCCGAGGTTTACTGTACAGGCTTACTGGTCATATCTCTGGGCTTCAAGAAATCAATACCAAGGTAGTGATTAAGCTTAATTAATTAATTAAGATTAATGGAAATTTTTGCATTTCCATTCTATAAACTGGGTACCAATCTTAGAGAAGCCTGAAGGATCTCAGGCTTCTCAAGAATGGTAGATTGATGCTGATGTCATAAAATAAAATCAATCATCAATTCAAAGTAAATTATATAGTGAGAAAACATACACAGATCACCATTTTTTAAAATTCAGGTTGTGTCCATTTAAAATTGATAATCCCCCTTCTTCCAGCTGGACATCTCTACATTTTGCAATGCTTCACAGTAAATCACAGACACAAAGCAAGAAAAAGGTTTTACGGAATATTACAGCACTTCAGTGTATAATAAACCAGCAAGATTGATTAAATGCTGGTGCCATAATTCTAGCAATACAGAAGCAGAGTTGTAAATCTTCTGTCAAAATTTTTTGAAGATATTATAACTGTTGTTCCCAGAGTGAGTCTGGTGTGGGAGATCCACCAGATCCTTTTGATATTTATGGACTACAATCTCAAGAATTATTGCCATAAATTAAAAACCATTTACTTTTTTTCTGGAAGTTCTATTTGGACCAGTGAAGGAGAACTTGGCTTTGAAATTTGTTTTAAGAAGTGAAGGGAAATTCTTCTTGGCTTTGCACTTATTTAGTGATAAGGTGTACAAAGAGTGTGTGGATCTTATTTTAGACCAGAAAATAGTGAGCAAGTGATTTCTGCACCTACTCAATTGGCTGCCCAAGTGCCTAAAACTGTTGGTAATCTTCAAAGGCTTTCTCTTTCTCAGAATTCTTTCTTTTTAACCCTATTTTGGACCAGAGAGCACCATCAAAGGATATCTTTTTCAGAGAAGCTATGAACTGAATTCTTAATGGTCATAGCAACTTCCATTATGGTTTTCTATCATACTTCTTGAAACTATGGACACAATTGTCCATAATCCCATAGCTTTTGCAAGAAGTATATAATATCATTGCACTTTATATAACCTCTGGGCAACGTACACAACTTCCAATTACAAGAAACATGCAAAATCTCAGTATATATTTTGTATATTCTCTGGAGAGCATGAATTTTCTCCAGCAATATATAAAAAATAACTTGAGTAATAAGATCTTCTTGCATGGTAACCTGAGCTTTTTTCTTTATTCCTTGCTCCAAGCTAGCATTCTGGTTTTAAGTTTCTGATTTTCTTTAGATTACTGTCAAATTCCCTGTTGTGATACAAGGTATTGGGGGGAAAAAACCCCCAGCAAAAATGTGGTTATTGTTTTTGCAAAGATCATGCAACAGAATAAATACTTTCCAGAATATTTACATCTCGGCTTTCTGGAATTCAGATCTTACTTATTGGATTACGAAAGAGTAGGAACATTTCTGGTAAAGATAGTCAGTAGAATATTATTACAGTGTGGCGGAGATGTACTTTTCCAGGCATGAAAATATTATGGATCATTATTGCTCAGTGACTGTATTCATGTGGCTGTATTAATCTCTCATCTTGGACCAAAAGCTGAGCTAATATTATACAATATGATTTTACATGAGTCATGATGGCTCAGTGTTTGCCTGCCATGTACTGTAGACTGTAGAAGAAGCAAATGCTTGGCTGCTCTGAGAACATTACCAACTGGAACTTCACAATCATATCATCTAAATTTCAGTTTGTTTAACCCTGGGCACCATGTCTATAGGCAAGCAAAACATGTGTTTATATAAACTGCATCCAGTTCTGATCACCATAATATTTTTTTTTAAAGGTACTGAGATCCTAGGAAGACTGCAGAGAAGACCAACAAAGATGGCTCCAAGGTCTTTTCCATCCCCATGATTCTATATTCTCTTTTATATTCTACGATATTTATGTATATACTTCACCTTGCAATGGAATCCCAAGCACACAATAGTTTGCAGAAAACTAAAATTTCCCTTAGACCTATGGATTATTTTGTAGATTTAGTCTATACAAGGGAATCACTGCTGGGCTGCAGAATTCAGACAACACAAAAATCACCATCCTTTTTTTTTTTTTTGAGGGGGGGAATTTGAATGAATATGAATGCACCAGTGGTGGGATTCAAAAATTTTTTACTACTGGTTCTGTGGGCATGGCGTGGTGTAGCCGTGGTGGCCATGGTAGGGGAAGGATACTGCAAAATCCCATTCCCTCCCCACCCCACTAACCTGCTTTCCAGCTCCGTTCTCCTGTGCAGGGCAACAACAGAAGACCCAGCTGATCATCTGGGGCTCAGGAGGTAGAGAATAGATGGAGGTGGGGCCAGTCAGAGGTCGTATTTGCCAGTTCTCCAAACTACTCAAAATTTCCGCTACCGGTTCTCCAGAACTGGTCGGAACCTGCTGAGTACCATCTCTGGAATGCACCCTTGCTCATGTCCCCACACCAATTGTTAAGAGCCAAATGGCTTCTATCTACTAGAAATAGACTCCAACTATCAAGACCATGAATAGTCTCTACCACTCAGCTCAACATCTGCTAACCTTAAACCTAATAGAACATTTGTTCATTCACTGGTTTTATTCATTAGGACATGAAGAGTCCCAGGAAAGTTGAGAAGTTAAGATGGTCTTCCACAAACCCAGACATTCCTAGATTATCACCCATCAACAAATCTTGTAGTAGAGAATTTATATAGCTCAACTCAGAACTTTTTAAAAAGTCCTTGTTTATAAAGATTTGGCTTTCTTCACCAAGAAACATGCCAAATAATTGTGGCTTTTCTATCTCTTCCATGGAAACAAACACCTATTACCTGTTGCTTAACATCAACCACCCACTCCACCCTTTCAGTGGTGTGTTCAGACAAGAAGTGCATTCGTTGTAAAAACAGGATCTTCAAGAGCTAAGAATCCACAAATTGATTATTTTTGGAGAATTTTTCTGTTATGGCAGAAATGTGCAGGAAACTCTACTCTGCTTGGCTGTTTTTAAACTTCTGGAATACTATAAAAGCTATTTGCCGCTTAATGGAAATTCACTATTATTGATTTTTCTCACAGTTGCGATGAGCCAAGTAAAGCAAACCTTAACTCTGCACTGGGAAAATCAAAAGAGCACATCAACATAGATCCGAAGATATGTAACAATCCAATAATGGTTCAACAACAAAGAATTAACATGTGATTGACTCTCACACTGAGACTGGTAACCACATCAAAATAAACAGTAGAAGCCCTATTATGACAAATTACTTGGACTGCTCTTTATACTGTTCAAACACCATAAAGCAATCTTAAAATCCCTTTGTTGCCAAGCTTTTCTTTTCTCCCATAATGCTAACAACATTGGGAAAATAGCTGTTTCTTTCTCCTTTGAAAAAGGGAGATGGGAGAAGTCACACTGGAGTGCATTATTGGAATAATTCTATTTGCAAATGAACTATGTGCAAAAGCATTGCTTTCTTATTGATGGGAGGGTTGGAAGAAAAATGAAGGAAAAGAGGGAGAGAGAACTTTAATCTATATGCAGGATGATTGCTTACAGAAAGATTGATGAGGGGAAAGAAGGAAGTCGCTAGCAAAATC